TGATACTGCGTGTTTTAAAACTAATATTCTAACAAATTATCCATACTAGTATTTAATAATTACACGAAACAAAATAGAAGCATACATAAAAAAAATAGTTTAATACATATTGAACGTAAAATAAAAGGAATTAATTAATAATTATTGAACATGCAACTTTTGAACAAAAATTTATGAATAATTGATATATAATTATAATTTGGTTTCATAATTTTAACTAATTTTTAAAAGTAATTTCTTTAAATTTGGTTTTATAACGTGGTTCAAACACAGCTTTAAATTAGATTGAAAAGACTGTTTCAACATCAAGCAAATTTTAAACAAAATTTAAATCTAACATTTTTTTAAAAGCTCTAAAAAAAATTTGAGATAGTATTATGTTGATTTTATAACTGCTGTGAGTTAGTAACAGTTACTAATGACTGTTAGGTAAAATTTTGCTAGCAGCTCCCCTTATGCTATACTCGAATGTCTATAAGAAGAAAATTCAGGAATATGTGAAAGTAAAGAGCTTTGTGATCAACTTCTTAAAGGTAGAAAATTTTACTTCAGTGCTACACTAAATAAACTAATGAAATTTTTCAGAAATGAAAAATTATTAAAAGATTTTTTAATAATATTCATCTATTCGGAAAGATATCGGGTCGTTAGCAAGTTTTAAAAAAAATTTATATCGTTTTTTAAATATTTAAGCAATTTGTCCATTCTAAAGCCTAGATAATTCTTTACAGCAAGACATCATGTGCGTGATTCTACATATATGAAAACATTTGAAACATGAAATGTTTCAAAAACATTTCGTTAAAAAATTTGAAAACATTAAAATTCTATCAATAAAATTCTTCATATGTTAGTTAATAATAGCATGTAATAAGCAAATGGTTGTATTTCACTTTATTTTTGTACTTATATTTATTAACTTGCATTTGAAAGGCAAAATAGACATGTTAATGATATTTAAGAACATCTGAGTTCTAAGACAAAATATACATTTATTAGCACTCTTACTATACCCACCTTCATATCAGGGTATATTTACAATACTAATAATACAACTAGCACTACTTTAAACTATATTCATCATTCATATAAAATATACATCATAAACATTTATTGAAACATGTCGATAACACGTGATAAAGAGTATGTAGATGAAAAATTAGAATTTTTCTCAACAAACTCAAAGTTCTCAACAGACAATATCGAAAGCTAAATAAGAATGATTACTATCAAAAACCTGGATAAGTAAGAGTTTTCAGTTTGCATGGTTAAAATTAAATTATATCTATATTTACTAATTACTAATATTAAAATTAACATTACTCTAATCTACATTCGTTATTCATATAGGCCATGCTTTTTAAACATATCTCTTATATTGAAAGATAATAAGCATGCAAGAGACTAATCAGAATTTGTGTTCTCTAAAACTTGGATTAGTAGCAGTTTTCCCTATACATAGTTAAAATTAAACTATATTTATGTTTTACTTTCTCTTGTAAGCCATGTTAATGACAAGAGTTAAACACCTTTATTTTGAAAATAAAACAAATCTTGCAAATGTGACTTCATTTCGAAAAATAAATTATCAAGCTTGTGTTTTAACAATGTTTTTACATTTTAATCTCTCTTTCTTTTCTTTTTTAAAGAAGTCGTATATTTAAAATTCGATTTCTCAGAAACTATTCAAACCTATTCTCAAATTTTGTATACATTAAAATGACGTATATACCTCACAATTCAAAATTTTTTCGACTATTACTTAATAAAATAATAAATAATTACTAAAATTTATTACACTCGAAAAATAAAATTCCTTTATCCTTTGATAAAGGAATTTTATAATTGTGTGCAAACATTTTTCAATTCGCTTAGAAAGTTCTTGAGATATGGCGAAATACGCAAGAAATAAAATTAACATTAAAAGGTCCAAACTTAGGATCATTCTCCTGACCAAACTATGGGGATCATCTTTCCCATATTGCGGCTAGCCCCTATATTTTGGGGGTCAAAAGTCCAAACAAGTTGACAGAAAGGTATGTTTTATTCAGAGAAAATAAGTTTTTGTGTCTAATTTAGTAACTTAAAATATCATCTGGGCACCAAGGTTGAGTCTTAGAACGTGATGATCCATAATCATTAAAAGAGTCAAAAGTTATTCAGGGCGGTCCATTTTTTTTTTGGCGCACTAATAAATAGTTTAATAGTTTAAATATTTAAAAAAATTATTAAAATCCCTTAAAGATTCTAAATTTTTTGAGGAATGAAAATGAATAAAGAATGTTTTTTGAAGCTTTTTCGGCCGAAAAATAAAGAAATCTTAGATCAAAAGTTATTCAGGCAGGTAAGTTTTTTTTGGCGCACTGTACGTTGTGAAGTCCAGTTAATTCTTAACGGCATTTGGAGTATCAGTACCCAAATAGTGTTTCACGTTATCCGAAAGGTGTTCCACGGAACCCTAGGGTTCCGTTGAAGAGTTAAGGGAGTTCCGAAAGTCAAGAGTTCTGTTTTTCAAACCAGGAATAGTTTTTAAATTTTTAATTATGTTTAAATCTAATTAATAATCAATTAACAATTTAATATTTCGGTTGTTTTTAAGAAATTAATAAAAGAAAAATGCCAAGTAAAAAGAAATATTTTTTTTAAATGAATAATTTGTATAACAATAAATTTAATTAGCTATGAAAAGGACCTTCACTTATAAGAAATTGCCTTAGTATTTTTCACCCGGCTTTTTAAATCAAAATAAAATAATTAAATTCACAAATAAAGAAAGATGTTTCCCTAATAACCATTTTCAACGCTTTTAGCAACGTTTATGTCTTTTTAGTTTTCCTTTCAAATAAAACATTAATTCTGTTTATTTTATTCGTTTTCAGCTTATTTTATATATACCGAAAACAAATCCATTACTAGACTAGATAAAGCTCAAAGATTGCGAATTTAATCGTGGAACATTATATATAATATTAGATAATTTATGTTACATGCTGTAATAAAACTATGTAAATAAAACGATGGAAAAAATGCATTCCTCTAATTAAATATTGTCCAAATAAAATACTATTTTATTGGTTTATATGCTCGCTATTATTTTAATGTGCTTTAATTACACATGTACTTTAATTAAATATGTACAATAATTAATTATTAAGTCGGGGTTCCGCTAAACGAAGTTTAATCATTTAGGGTTCCATAGCAAGAAGAAAAAAATTGGGAACTGCTGATTTATAGTTATTGCTTTGCTTCGACATTACGTATCTAAACTGTAGGTTAGGATCATTGTAAGAGCTTCAAATATGCTTTTAAAATTCCACTGAATATGTATAAAAAAACCTGAAAAAAAAGGATAAAAAAAAAAAGATGCCTAGTATTTCCTAAAAGAGTGATCACCCCAACCCTCATCAAAATATCATAAATTTAACAGTTGTGACTCACCCTAAGTACATTGGCGGTAAAGTAATAACCCACACTATCTTATTATTTGGCTACCATTATGAAGGCACCCAATAGCTTTTGATGTTCTTCCCCCGACCCATCGTAATCTCTAATTCATGGGCTGTCAACGAAGATCAATATGGAACCACTTCGGTATTGAGATTGAGATCGATTCACTTTTGAATCAATTGATTAAAATTAATAAACATAAATTAGGAGCATTCTAAAAAAATATGCTAAAATAATTTTAAAAAATTTTAAATTAATTTCCCGAAAAAAATTTTAAACTTTACAAACCAAAATTTACATTCAAATTAAACCTATTTCATTTTTATTAAAAGTGATAATTAAAAAAAAAGTGAATAAAATATCTCTTAATTTAAAAAATTGTTTTGAAAAACTGTTTTCAAATATTGATTTTTAATGAAAAAATTAAATTATACATTAGAAGTAGTTCCAATAATCTCTAAACTTTTTTCTCTCTTGTGAAAAACGATGTGCAACCTTGTTTAGTAAAAACGGTTATTTAAAAAAAAATTAAAAACAGCGGCAGTTTTTAAAAAAAATTAGTTTAGGACATCATGATGGATACCTTCTGACTAAAGAGCAAATTATGGGAAATAATTATTCATAACATTTAAAATAACAATAATTGTGTATAATGTAATTATTAATAATGTATTATTAATGTAGTTATTAATGTTTACAATAATTATTTATAATAATAATTAATATGTAATAATAAGTAATATACAATTAATACATCCCTTCCTTAGGAACTTATTTTGAAAGCTTGTTTGATAAAAGTTTTGCTATCAATAATTGAATTATTTTACTTGTTTATTTATTAGAAGGAGTCATAATAATATTTAAACATTAAAACTTTTTATCTAATTGTGCGAAACAATCCTCAACAGTCCTCATAAAAGCTAAATTTAAAAAAAAAATGCAATAGGGAATGTTAAGACTAGTTTTGGAAGTCAAGGACATTGTAACTTAAAGATTTAACCAAGCCAACAAGAAGAAATAATATTATATTAAATTCTAATGCGTATGTATATTGTTGAAAAATAAACGAAATTTTTTCCCCCGTCGACAGCAAAGAATTGAAAAGCGAAATATCAAGTGAGTGAGCAATCATGAATATACAAATTTCTGAATAATTTTTTCTCTCTCCTGAAACATATTGAGCTGGGAAGAAATTGCATTTTATAAGCGTTCATATGAACTAAGAGACTGACTTATATATTTCTTAATTATACTTTATAATTAATACAGAAAATAAACTTGAATGTTTTGTTTAAATAGTTGAAATTGAATTGAAGTGTACCATTTGTAAAACTCTTTGGATATTAACCGTAGTTCTTGCTTTCATATAACTCTTAATGGATATAATATTTAGGTACCTATCAATTATTCTTTTTTCAAGATCTAGCATTGTACTTTATTGGTGATGAGTATCATTATGATATGGTTATTGTACCATTATGTAAAACTCTTTGGATATTGTAATTCTTAATAGATATAATAGATACAGTGACATCAATTATTCTTTTTTTCAGAATCTCCCATTATGCTCTATTGGTGATGAGTATCATTATGATGTGTCTTACAATGGCCATTATTCCCTTTTGTAAAGCTCTTTGGATATTAGCTTTTGTTCTTGCTGTTATGGGATTCTTCATGGGTTTAATAGATACAGTGGCTAATGTTTCAATGATTCGAATATATGGAAAAGATGTCTCCCCTTTCCTACAGGTAAAATTAACAATTTAAACAATTAACAATAATTAACACTTTAAAAATATTAAAAAATATTCTGTCTATTCAATAACATAATCTCAAACATGTGGGACCGAGTGTATCATCGTAGAACTGTTCTATAGCATCTGTATAAATATGATACAACAAAACTTTAATTTGTACTTCATAACTTCTATAAACTATACTGTTATTTATAAAAAAATACACTAACTAATCAAACTAATTCTGTTATTTGTAACGCAAATGTTGAAAGAATATGTTTGAAATTCAATAGTTTTCTTGAGATAAATATTTTGTGCTGCGATTAGTTTTACTACAAGATTCAAAAAGTCTAATCGCGCACATAACAAATAAATACATGGATTATAAAGTTAAAATTCAATGATGTTATTTATGATGAAAATTAAAGTAATTTTTAAGAAATAATTTCATTCGTTGAACTTAAAGTATTAAGATAGTTAAAGCAGGATTTTTTTGACTGAGACTAGATTTGAGAATTTTATATAAGAGGGTCTTAAAAATATGATTTTTTTTTGGTTCTTTTAAAAATAATTAAAATTTTAAAAATTAACGTAGGATTTTTTTTGATCGTCAGAGTTGAAATTTCAAATGGCGATTTTTATAACATAATTTAGTTCGGTTAACGTGAAATATTACTATAAAATAAGTTAATGTAATATTTTTTTACTAGCACTAGAGTTGAGAATTTAATGTAGAATGATTTTCAGATTATAAATTCAACTTAATAATAGAGAGAAATCAACAACTCTAGCGGCAATCCGAAGAATCTAACATTACAGACATGTGAAAAAGGGGAAGGGGAAAAAAATTTTAATAATAAAAAAAAAAACCAACAACTGGAGAGAAAAAAAAAAGGATGAAATTTTTATAAAAAATATGGAAAATAAAAGATGTAATCTTTTCATCAGCCCACACGATTATATCCGCATAAAAGAGCGCTTCTGATATTGTGTCAATATAGCCAAAGCAAAATATATTAATAAAATAGTGTGAGGAACACTCAAAAACTTTTTTTACAAAAATTACAACCAATAAAATAGAACACAATAAGTAAAAATAACACGTAAAAACAGAAAATAAAATAAAAGAAAAAAACAGAATAAAACAAAATCTATAAAGCGAGTAGCGAATTCAAATGTACTTACATGAACGGTTAGATATATTGATGACTTAAATTTGCTTTTAGTTATATTGATGACGTATTATCTTTAATTTTCAAGATTATACTATTTTATTAAAATATCTGCTTTGTTGATTTATACGATAAAAGAAATGATTTTAATTTTAATATAAATAAACTAATTACTTGGAATTCTAATGTTTCTAGGAGCATCTATTTAAATACCACTTTTAATGAAATGAATAGAATTAAAAGAATATGTAGTAATATTTATTTATCCAAAAAACAAATCGATGAACTCTTTCAAAATTTGATAAGAAGCAATGGATACCCAACTAAAGTAATAAAATTCTATATAAAATCATTGAATTAATTGTATATTTTTGTGGACATATTTACTAAAAAAAATTTCTTTGTTAATTTATATAATTTTCCCATGTGCAAATCCATTTCGGGTAAATCCATTGTCCAAAATTATTTACTAAATAATTTCTTTGTTAATTTGTATAATTTTTCCATGTGCAAATCCATTTTGGGCCAATCCGTGGCTAAAATTATCTACTAAAAATTTCTTTATTAATTCATACAATTTTTCCATGTGCAAATCCGTGGCTAAAATGATCTAATAAAAATTTTTTTCTTTGTTAATTTATATAATTTTTCCTTGTGCAAATCCATTTTGGGCAAATCCGTGGCTAAAATTATGTGCAGAACAGGCAATATGTTTCTCTTTTCTATTTTACATTTTTTCTTAAATAAATATTTATTTTCAAAAATTATTTATGGTCAATTTCTTTAAATTATCCAGTGTAATATTACCTTGCGCACTTCCATTTCGGGCCCATCCTTGGTAACTAACAAATCAAACGCACTTCAGCAATGCAGTAAGAACGGCACTTTAAAACAAAACTCCTCTAGTTACGCTCAATTTTAGCTTTTGTTTTCATATTTTGCAATCTGGCAATCTTGTTACGAAAATATTTTTTAAATCATTCCGGAAAAATTTCCCGTTCATGTAAGTACATTTGAATTCGCAACTTGCTTTATAGATTTGGTTTTATTCTGTTTTTTCTTTTTCTTTTATTTTATTTTCTGTTTTTACGTGTTATTTTTACTTATTGTGTTCTATTTTATTTGTTGTAATTCTTGTAAAAAAAAATATTGAGTGCTCCTCACNTTTTATTTTATTTTCTGTTTTTACATGTTACTTATTTTTACTTTTTGTGATCTATTTTATTTGTTGTTATTTTTATAAAGTAAAAAAAAAATATTTGAGTGCTCCTCACACTATTGTATTAATATATTTTGCTTTGGCTCTATTGATACGATATTAGAAAGCACTCTTTTATGCGGATATAATCGTGTGGGCTGATGAAAAGATTACATCTTTTATTTTCCATATTTTTTATAAAAATTTCATCCTTTTTTTTCTCTCCAGTTGTTGGTTTTTTTTTTATTTTCCGGATCTTTTATAAAAATTTTAACCTTTTTTTTCCCCAGTTGCTTGTTATTTTTTTTATTATTATTTTTCTTTCCCCCCCCCTATTTCATACGTCTGTAATTTTCCTTTGTTTTATCTTCATTTTGAACTTATCTAATGAGTTCTGTTTACTTGTAGCTTATGCTCAACAAATGAATCTTATTGTTTTTTTCAATTTTCTTCGTGTTTTTTTGCATTTATTTATTATGTTGTTTATATATATATATATATATATATATAATTGGTTGGTAGATATATTAGATATAGATATCCCATTGAAAAAAAAGTTACTTCTGATTACAGCCTATAGATCTTATATGTTTCTATATGCGTTAAAATATATGGTATTGCGTACCATTTACTAAACACTGGAGGACATTACCATCAATATCATCACAGATTCAGTGATGATAGTTCTGTTGCTACAAACAGAAACTGCAACATTTTGGCATATACAGTTCGACTTAAGATATCCCCCCACACTTTCTAGAGATTTGAGGTCATTAATAGGGTCATTCATTGACATGCACCTTAAAATCTTTAAACCAACATTGTGATGATCTTGCAAGGTAAATGGAGCCATTGTCAACATTTTGGCATATACAGTTCTACTTAAGAAATCCCCCACGCTTTCTAGAGATTTGAGGTCATTAATAGGGTCATTCATTGACATGCCCCTTAAAATCTAAAAACCAACCTTGTGATGATCTTGCAAGGTAAATGGAGCCATTGTCAACATTTTGGCATATACAGTTCTACTTAAGATATCCCCCACGCTTTCTAGAGATTTGAGGTCATTAATAGGGTCATTCAATCACATGCAACTTAAAATCTTTAAACCAACATTGTGATGATCTTGCAAGGTAAATGGAGCCATTGTTAAAATTTTGGCATATACAGTTCTACTTAAGATATCCCCCCACGCTTTCTCGAGATTTGAGGTCATTAATAGGGTCATTCATTGACATGCACCTTAATATCCTTAAACCAACATTGTGATGATCTTGCATGGTAAATGGAGCCATTGTCAACATTTTGGCATATACATTTCTACTTAAGATATCCCCCCACGCTTTCTAGAGATTTGAAGTCATTAATAGGGTCATTCATTGACATGCACCTTAAAATCTTTAAACCAACATGTGATGATCTTGCATGGTAAATGGAGCCATTGTCAACATTTTGGCATATACAGTTCTATTTGAGATATCCCCCCACGCTTTCTCGAGATTTGAGGTCATTAATAGGGTCATCCATTGACATACACCTTAAAATCTTTAAACAAACATTGTGATGGTTTTGCATGGTAAATGGAGCCGTTGTCAGCATTTTGGCAAATACATTTCTACTTAAGATATCCCCCCACGCTTTCTAGAGATTTGAGGTCATTAATAGGGTTATTTATTGACCTGCACCTTAAAATCTTTAAACCAACATAGTGATGATCTTGCATGGTAAATGGAGCCATTGTCAACATTTTGGCATATACAGTTCTACTTTATCCCCCCACGCTTTCTCGAGATTTGAGGTCATTAATAAGGTCATTCATTGACATGCACCTTAAAATCTTTAGACCAACATTGTGATGATCTTGCATGGTAAATGGAGAAATTGTCAACATTTTGGCATATACAGTTCTACTTAAGATATCCCCCCACGCTTTCTCGAGATTTGAGGTCATTAATAGGGTCATCCATTGACATGCACCATAAAATCTTTAAACCAACATTGTGATGGTTTTGCATGGTAAATAGAGCCATTGTCAACATTTTGGCATATACAGTTCTACTTAAGATATCCCCCCACGCTTTCCAGAGATTTGAGGTCATAAATAGTGTCATTCATTGACATGCACCTTAAAATCTAAAAACCAACATTGTGATGATCTTGCAAGGTAAATGGAGCCACTGTCAGACTGGAAAATCCGATTTAGGTTAACAATTCTCACATTTAGTGGCAATAAATGAATTTATAGAGTTTTATTTATCGTCGGCAGACTCCATAAAGCATGTGAGAAGGGCTAGGTTAAGCTTGCCACCATAGCTAAAGTATTCCGCGCAATTAATGAGCCTCTACCTGGAGAAGAAATCCTCATCTTTTCTCATGATTTTTTTTCTACTCTCATTTGCTTGTGAAAAGCTTTTAGCATGGGTACTGCTCAATACGTCAAAACCTCGTGCACCTAAGCCTTGATCTAAACTTAACGGAAAAACTGTAGAAAGGATATATGTTAAGCGCTATCTGTTGGATAGTTTTTAACCTATATCCAGTAGCTCTGGGAGAAAAATACGATTTATAACATAATGTCACCTATACAAAAGTATTTCTTCTTTCTTTAAAAAAAAAACTGTTTTCTTGTTATAATTTTATTATATTTGAAAGCCTCCTGTCTAATTTAAGACATCCTGTATATTAGTATACCCTGGCAAGTACACCGTTCAGGAAAACGAAATAAAATTTTTGTATAAAGGTATGCGTTAAAAATATAGTTGAAAAAATAGCATGAAAAAAGACTGGAAGAAATCAAATAAAATGTTTGTTTTTTTCAAATTTTTAACACGTTTACAATTAGTATCACAATAGAACCAGCTCAGAAGACAAAGACGAACATTGATATAGTCTCTTGGATTTGCAAAAGAAATATTGTACCAACTCCATTTTAAAAAAATTTTTAACTGTTGCATTTTGATGAGAAAAAATCGGTATTACTATTCGATAATTTTGAAATTAAATATGTAAGGTCTTAATCGAGCTGATGTTCATTTATACAAACGGTGTGCTCGGTCTCTTGGTGATGATATATTTCCACCATATGTCCTGTTGGCTAGCATGTCCTTTAACTCCAGCTTATCCTTTGTCATTCCTTTGAGCAGCTTTTTTTCAGCTTAAATATCAATTTACAACATCTAATATGACTTTATGTATTGTAAGAATTACGAAGTCCCCTATAGAATATTTCATTATTTTATAGGCTTTGCATTTTTTCTACGGTGTTGGCGCCTTTATTAGTCCTATGATAGCTCAACCATTCTTGTTAAATGAAGACTGTTCGCCTTTTATAGACAACAATTCAAAACCGGTACATATTTTGGGAGAAGATGAATCACTTCCGGCTAAAACTTTAGTGGAAGCTCAAAGAATGACTCATATAGACAACGTTTTTTGGATTATGTCCGCTTTAATGGTAAGTAATTCATTATTTAACTACTTGGTAATACCGCAAACTGGTGTCCCCTGAATCTTTGACACGCTTTATTATCTTTAAAACAGCAGCATTTTTTTCTAAATTAAGTATAGAATACATTCAATTTTAATTATTTCTTCTTTTCATTTCATATATATTTCACTTCCTTTTTTAATCCATGTTTATAATTCATAATTAAAAAAATGCCAAACCATTACGTTAAAACTTCTAATAGCCCTAATTAACCGTCTAAAAACTATCAAATTAGAAAAACAACATAACAAATGAAAAAAAAATATAATAAAGAGTTGTATACTGGTATACATGTTGTACTATGTATGTACTTTGTATATTAAACCATCTGAAATGAAAGAGTGTTGATAACATGCTGGTCTCTTCCAAAGAAAAGGATGGGAATTTTTCAGATATAGTATAGTTTGTCAACAGAAAGAACTCCTCGCGCCACAAAATTTAAGGCCGTTTACTGTTATAGAAACAACTTACATAGTTTCTATAGCAGTAAACGACCTTTACTTACATTCACATTTCAAAGAGAGGAGCTTCTCTTTCCCCCGCTTCCTTATCTCTCTCTGATCCGAGACCTGTCTTAAATATTGACCGAACAACCCTACGTGAAATAGTTAAGTAACCATAGTCACCGCTACTGTAGAAGACGACGAATGGCGAGGGGAGTTTTTTCCATATCTTTGTGGTTGACACTCTTTTTATTTAGGCAATCCATTTTGTGGTACCTAAAGGTTTATTTTTAACAATCTTACACAGAGAATCTGTAAAATAACATAGCATAAGTTTCATACCGCTCAAAATTTGATAAAATAGTCAATAATATATTTTGACCATATAGTGGTTGATATCGCAATAATTAAGGCTGAGTTTATTTAGTACATTATTCAAAATGGAAATATTTCGGCAACTGTTTAGGTCTGTGATTGCGACTACATGATTTTATTATACAACGAAGGTTATATTAAGTTGTCATTTGCACTGCAAAAAACTCAGTAAATCTTTAGCCAGTATTTGGAGCAAAGTTTCTCATTAGGTGTTTTGTTTCATCGAAACACCTTCTTTTAGTACAACCTTCTACTGATAATTGGAGCTAATTAAAATACCAAAATATGGTAAAATTGAGCTCCATTTTATGTGGCCAGTAAACGAATATCAATTTTGGTTTTTTTTCTTCAAAATACCTACTTTTAGTTCAACCTTCTACAGATATTTAAGCTAGTGAAAATACCAAAATATGGTGAAATTGCGCTCTATTTTATGTAGCCAGCAAACGAATATCAATTTTGGTTTTGTTTCTTCGAAACACCTACTTTTAGTTCAGCCTTCTACTGATATTTAAGCTAGTGAAAATACTAAAATAAGGTAAAATTGAGCTCCATTTTATGTAGCTAGTAAACGAATATCAATTTTGGTTTTGTTTCTTCAAAACACCTACTTTTAGTTCAACCTTCTACTGATATTTAAGCTAGTGAACATACCAAAATATGGTAAAATTGAGCTCCATTTTATGTAGCCAACAAACGAATGTCAATTTTGTTTTTTTTTCCTTCAAAACACCTACTTTTAATGCAATCTTCTACTGATATTTGGAGCTTGTAAAAATACCAAAATAAGGTAAAATTGAGATCCGTTTTATGTAGCCAAGCCAGCAAACAAATATCAATTTTTGGTGCAATGTGGCTCGGAATTTTTAACAGTGTATAGTGAAACGTCTATTTAAGAGTAAACGGTCATTTTTTTTTTTTTTTTTGCAAACAAATAATAGTGACTGGGTGGTTCAATGATATTTCGTCGACTTAGATACGTAATAAAACTTAAAGTTCTGCTGATTGAACGTTTCTTTTAAGATGACTGTGTATTGGAAATATTTCTTCTAAATAATTTTGCTTCTGTGGTGTCGATAAGAAAATCAAAGGTGTCTTTCTCAGCTGATTACCGAAAGACAGAAATATTTTTCTAGAAAATTTAACTATTTGACAAAATTTTGCATCGCATCCTTGTTAGTGAAGTGCCTGTTTTATGACGAGTCCTTCAAAGAATTTTCACTGTCATGAAGAAAAAACTCAGTGTCTTAAATATTTTCCTGGGACTATATTTATATTATGTGAAAAGAATGTTGTAATATATGAAAGTCACATAAGTTAATATGTTTAAAAAAACAATTTTGAATTATAAAATTCCAGTAAACACATTGAGATCGCAATTTTAATTTTATTTAATTTTGTTGTTAAAAAAGAAATTAGTGACTTTTATTTTCAACATGTATTACATTTTTTACAACAGCCTACTTTTATTTTTTTAATTTTGTCTTCTTGAAGACAAGTTTCTCTTCTTTACCAACCATATTCTATTCAGTTGAAAAAAACTTTTACATCATTAATTTTTTTAAACTTCTAAGCAAAATTTTAACTATTTAATTTTAAAATTGATAAATAAAAAAAATAAAAATAATAATTTTAGTTTTGCATAATTCTTTGGAGAAATGCAGGTAAATAAAAATACGAAAAAGGAATTTGCAGTTATAATTTTTTTTCTTCAAGAAAATCAGCATTGGATCGATCTAAAATACTTCATTAATCTCCCGAAATACCGAGAGTGTATGAGAAAGTAAGCATAAAGCTCATTTCTTAAACAGAATGTTTCAAGCATTTAGTGCACTACAATTTTGCCGGTTCCAGGTACCTGATGAAAATTGAATCTTTAACCCGACCACACTGTTAGCAATTTTTCAGAAAAAATGGTTAAATAACAATTTATTTAATTTCTATTTAAACAGATTAAAACTAAAGAGTCAAATAACCTTAAATACGATGGCATTCAAACTGTTAACTGCGAAAAAAACCGTTTATTAACTGCTTTCACCTGGGATGATAAAACACAAAGATGGCAGTACCATGAAGCTGTTTTACTCAAAAATGTCTAGTATTTCCTATCTCTTACGATAGGGTAAACAACCAGAAAAATGAAAAACTGTTCATTTGAAGAAGCACAACTTAACCATAACCTAACTACGATGTCCAGTTAAATTTCTTTTTTACTGTTCTGAAACCATTCTAGTAATAAATGGTTAAAAAAAAACGAATAATTTTTTTTTTCATGATTCATTCATACTTTTTTTAAATATGTAGGTCCACTTATGCTGCAAATGGAATAAAATGTTTCTAAGACAGTTTTTTGTTTAGTTATGCAAAATATAAAGATTTCTACGTTTTTAAAATAAAAACTACCTTTAAAAAATTGTATTTTCACTTTTTGTTATAAGAGTTGTCTCATATTTAACATATCTAGGAAATTAATCTTCAATGATGCTTAAATTAATATTAGCATTAGAGTAATTAGCATGTTATTTGTAAGAAAATATTCAGTTTCTGTTTGCAATTGTTATCTTCTACACTTCTATAAATGCTAAGATTAAAATAATAAAAACATGTTATTGCATTAACTTAATTACTGAAAGCAAATTTAGTAAGAGAGTAATATACATTTTTCTACAGTAACCTGTAAATTTTATTTATTATGATAGCATTAACTTTTGAAAAATATCAAAATAATTCCTTATTTAAATTTTTATTTATCTAACTATCATATTAATAAAGTTTAAATAGTTTTCAACATTAGGTTTCTGAATATTCATATCTTCTCCTAAGCAAACATTTCTGTCTTTCCATTTTATCAAAATTTCTCTCGATTAAATTTCAACTACTCAAAAGTAAAATTCCTAAACAGTTATTTCAATTTGATCACGAAGAAACTGATAAAATATATGGATTTCTAGTAACATATATATAATTAACTTTACTGTTACTATAATTATGAATACGGTGGTGCCTAATACAAATGAATGTTACAGGAGAAATTAACTGAGTCTGAGTAGTCGGTACCGGATCTTGAGGCTAAAAACCGAATCCGGACGTTCGTTGCTGGGTAATATAATTCTTTTGCCGGGTCCGGGTAATAACCGAGTGACAAAAATCTGGTCGGGTACCCAAGATTCATCTCTAGTATTTAAAAATGTGATGTCACTATGTGAGAACAATACTATGGAAGATGAAAAATATTAGGTATTCTACAAAAACCACCCTTTAGAATCCTTATCATAAATGAAAACTAGTAATCATACGCATTGGGAGTCGAAAATTAGTATTTAACTCTCCGAATTTGACCAAATACAGTATTGACCTCAGATGTTATAAACATCAAAATAGGTTGGATTATAAGTTGAAGGTGTTTCGTCTTTTAACTCTTCTCTGTTTCCTTCAACAATCAGACCTCTCTTCTCGTTTATTTCTCACACGTACGTTGATTTATCAAATTTCGATAGCTTTTTTGCTTAAATATGAGTTTGCGACCCCCCAATGTATTTGTCTTTATTTTTGCTAGAGATTCAATAATTACAACCGGTTAATATGATTTATGCTCAGTTAGTTAACGAAGCAAAATTCTTTGAGCCTCGCGGAAGTTTTAGTTAAGAACGAAAGCGTTTTGTTACTCGGTTCAATATTAGTTTGCGATCCCGAGTGCATATACTTTTTGTCTTCATTTTAAATAAGGATTCTTAGAAATAAATAACAAGGGTGATCTTTACGGAAGTAAGATTGAAGCTAGGTTATTCAACTTGGAACAAAATTCTTTGTGTCCAGCGGAAATGACTATGCTTTTATAAGGCTTTTTCGTTGCATTCATATTTTCTGTGTTCAAGCAACTCTCTCCAACCTGCAAAAACTGCTCTTTTTTAAATCTACAAAGCTTTCCCTGAAAAACTCTAATGAAAACATAACAAATTTAGCAAAACCTAGCAGGGCAATAAATAGTAAAAAGATCTGCATCTTAAGAAATATTACTTTTTTTTTTCTCTAAAAACTAATTATAAGCTGGGAAATTTATAAAAATATTAAAATATAAAGCCTGAAAATAAAAAATTGTCAGTAAGAAATATTTATTTTTCAAAACCCATTTTACATTTATACTTCTCTGCAATCTTTCTATGGGAGAAATCATCTACAACATATTTAATAAAAAGAATTTTCACCTAATATAACACTTTGTAGTATTATACGATCTTGCATCATAATTAAAATAATTTTCTGTTAATTTTTACAAATTTGTCTAACTGTAAAGGGCCTCTGTTAGCAATAGAAATAAGCTGGAAATGTTTAAAAGTAAGATCGACTAGTATAAACATGAAAGTGAAGATAAGTAATATTTTTTTAATGGAAGTTGAATCTCTATTTAAGTAAGGTCTTGTCTTCAGTTAAGTGTAAATTAAATTTATCAAAATTAGGTCAAGTTAAATATTTATCAGAAGTAAACCTTATAACGGAAAAGGGCTCTTTACTAGTGTATCGAATAATCTATATTGAAATATAAATAATTTCTTTAATCTAATATTAATCTTACCATAAAAATGGGATCTAAACTTCGGAAAAAAGTAAATGAATTAGCGTTATAGAAAGTAAATTAAATACATCTTTTTTTTTTATTGGCTAACACTTCATGTTGGTTGTTTTTAGATGATCGAAATAAACCTTTTATAGGTTTTTTTCAATCAAATATAAAGTTTTAATTTTTAAATGGTATTGCGCTTTAAACAGTGAAAAATCTCTTTTGGTAAAAATTATTTAAAATTAAAATTATTTAATATTAAAATTATTCAAAATTAAAATTACTTAAAATAAAATAATTTTCATTATTGCTTAGACTTTGAATTTAATTTTTATTCTGATGCCAATTACGACTGCAGTTTAAGTAATCATCATTCAATTAATATCTATTTAATATAATTCAGAAATGTTAATTTTTGCTAAAGCAAACAAAAATTCATTGCTTGTTCAAAATTAAAAAATTCCACGTTCAAAAATTCATTCATCAGTGGAAAAGAAAAAATTTGGTCTTTTTAAGTAATAAATATTTTTCCTAAAGAACTACTACCAAAAGTATTACCAAGTTGTTATTTATTTTACTTATGTTATGCAAAAACTGAATAAAAATATACCCTCAATAATTATTATTTATTGTCAGGTTCCTGTCGTGCTCCTCAGTTTTACCTTATTTGGTAAAGATGTATATTTAAAAATGATGGGAAGAGAAGATTTGAGTGCAAATAAACAAGGTCTGTATTTATCATTCTATTTTCTTGAGAAAAATTATGTTTCATTTTTTGTCACCTAAGATGCTTAAATTAGTTAACTTGAGATTTATCATGATTTTTTTATAATATTTTATTCCTGTTATCATCGGTTATGAATCAAGAAACGGAAATTAATTTCCAGGACGGATCTAATAACTCCAGAAAATAATATCGCAACTAATATCATGCGACCTGATGTCCTCCTGTGACTGCGAAAGTCCTCTTTAAGTGTAGAATGATTTTCTGCTCTCATGTTTTTAATGTCTTTAAAATCCTTAAACCTCGATCTCCAAAATATATTAAATATATTTTCGCAACTATGTACCAATTTAATATGTGATCTAATGTAATACACTCCGGTATTTGACTCCAAAAATCACTTTTAATGTTCCCTTTCAGTGTAGAATGATATTAAGCTTTGACGTTTTTAATGTCTTTAAAATTCTTAAACCTTGATGTAATAACTTCCAAAAATCTTACATCAATTAAATACAAATTTAATATTACGTGATCTAATGTAATAACACTCCAGTATTTGACTCTAAAAATCACTTTTAAAGTTCTCTTTCTGTGTAGAATGATATGACATTTTTAACGTCTTTAAATTCCTTAAACCTCGATCTAATTACTCCCAAAATATTATAGCAATTATATACCAATTGAATATAATGTGAACTAATGTAATACACTTCGGAACTTGGCTGTAAGAGTTAACTTTTAAAATCGTCTTTCGGTGTAGAAGGATTTTCAGCTCTGAAGTTTTTAATGTCTACGGTATCGTTAAAATTTGTTATTTTAGCAAACTTAAATTTCAGAAATCAAAGTCTCCAAGAGGTTTGTCCGAATGACTCATCCACAATATTTGTGAAACTAAAAAAACAAGGTTTAAGAATATCGAAATCATTACGAAAATTCCCCGTCTAAGCTGAACGAAAAAAAGACTAAAAATTGTTCATGAAACTTATACATTCATGTACAAAAGTGCCCATCTATAGGTGACTTATGAATTTAAATAGACATGTAAATCCTACGAAGTTTTCAACAGTTAAGTCGATAGGATGGAAGATTAGGTCAGATCGAGACATTAATTGCCCACTTCATAATCAAAATATGTTGTTTTTTCAATCCAACTTGTTATGTATTAATTTCATTGAACGTCTGCTGCCAGTTACATTATGCCCACAGTCAGTGGTCAAATTATTAGGCGCACTATAACATTCTATGTAAAATCTCACTAATCAGGTCATATTATACAGCTTGATTGTTTTTACGCGACTTTCACGTTCGTGCATTAATTTCTTAAATTAGACGATATATAATATAAATTGGATAAATTAAACAATATATTATATAAATATGGAATATGTATTATATCAGGTATAATATTAGTATATTATAATAATTAGATCAAATTATTAGACGCACTATAGCGTTCTAATAATTACACGTTTTGTACGAGTTTATATGCAATACTTTTATATTTAAACATGTATGTAATGGGTTTTTATTCGGGAGATTTTCCATATACCTCCTATTTGTATTTATTTTTGAAGTATTGCATTGCAATGTTAACCAATTGATGCACGAACATAAGCGAGTGTAAACCGGTTTCAGCCGCTTAAAAACAATAATGCTGTATAATATCACCTGATAATTAAGATGTGATCAGGGATAATGTAATCAGGGACTGTAGGTGAAAAAGTATTCAATGTGACGGAATTTAATGACTCAATAATATAAAGGAAAGAATCTACTAAGTGGGAGGAACATCAAAATGGGTTTTAAATACTTGCTTATTCAATATTTTTTGCTTTCTAGAAAAAGAAATTCCTGCCCCAGATGAAAAATATGACACAAGTCCAGTTTCAGCATTACAAACTATTGTAATTACATTATTATGTGCATCACTGATGTTTTTGTACGATGGATTACAAGTATGTTCCTTTTCTGTCACTTCATTAAAAATTTTATTTCTTCATTACAATTATTTTAATATTTTTAGGCCATATATGGTGGATATTTATACTCGTACGCTGTAAAAGGTCCCGTTAATTTGAAAAAATCAAATGCAGCCTATTTGAATGCATGTTTTTGGGTAAGATTTTTCTATTTTTATGAATTTATTTATTAATAAGTTACGCTGTTCTCATATTTAAAAAAATATCTTACTGAACAGCGTATTTACAAACTAAATAGAATTGTGTAGGGCAATACTAGATGAGCATTTAATAAATTTAGAAGTATTCAGGCTATGCGGTTTCTCATACTCAATAAGGAAGTTTGAAGATTTTAGAGGTAGTTTTTTTGTACTTCGCATGGACGGGAAAAATTTAATTTTTCTTCTTCTTAATTTTGTAGTGAATCATATTAGAAAACTGAGAAAAAAGTCTGATTTGTGTCTCTTAAAAATTTAAAAGTTTGAAGTAATTTTCTAGGCAGTTTTCGTACTTTTTAAAATGATAAGAGGGTTTCTACAAATTTCACTATTATTATGAAACAAGATTTGTTAAAAAGGACACCGGTATTCTTGGGGATCATCCCCCAAAGAAATATCTTTTCTTTCGCCTGTTTTCTTTCCTTATACAATCTTATTTCGGTGTATGAACATTTATTGTAAGGTATCATTTGTTTTTTAATTTTGTCTTATGATGCAAATTAATATTTGTAGAAAACCCCCATATAATTTTGAGTTTCTTTTAAAGAGTACAAAAAACTACTTAGAAAATTGCTTGAAATTTTTTTAATTTTTAAGGTATTCAAATCGAACCTTTTTCATTAGTTTCCTAATACGATTCACTAGAAAATTATAAATAAAAAGCAAAAACTTTTAGGCACATGCGCAGTATAAAAGAACTGCTTTAATTACTAATACATTGCACAGTTCTCAACAATTTTTTTCAAATTTTAAACCAAAAATTTTGTAAATAATTTTAAATTGCTCTAAAAATTTTCTTCAATTTTATTGAATAGGCTTTTTATTTTATAACAAAAAAGCGTACGAAAAAAACTGATTTTTTTTTATAAAAATGTCCTTATTTTCATAAATACTTCCGATAGGCTTACAAAATATTGTGCACTATTTTCCAATTTCTTGTCCGATATATATATATATATATATATATATATATATAATAATAATTTTTCCATTACCATTATTTACTCAATTATGAAAAACAATATTTATTAATTGTTTCAAATAAATGCGATTTACCAATTTTATGTCAAATTTATGTGTCAAATTCATGTTTAAAGATAAGATTTTTTTATTATCCTCAAGCCGCAATTATGAACAACATTATTTATCAACTGTTAGTTGTTTCAAAGAAATGTCATTCTCCAATTTATCTCACAAATACATGTTAAAAGATAATGGTTTTCTATTGTTCTCAAGAACGCAATTATGAATAACAATATTAGTAATTGTTAGTTCTTTCAACGAAATAATTTTTACAAAAATATACTTAAATCCAACAAAAATTTGCTTAAAGGTAACATTTTTTTAATTAATTTAAACTAAGCAAAATTTATGCTCAATTGTGCAATTCGCAAATTCATGTCGCAAATCCATGTTTAAGATAATTTTCCCATCATCCTCATGCACGTATGCATAACAATATTTATTAATTGTCAGTTATTTCAAGGAAACAATCTTTATAAAAACATACTAAACTATAGTTTACTTGAAGGTAACAATCTTTTAATTAATTTCAACGGAACAAAATTCATGCGCAATTGTGCATTTCACATGATCTTGTCGCAAAGGCATGTTTTAAGGTAATAGTTTAAACAATCACGCAATGATGAAAAACAATATTTATGAATTATCAGTTATTTCAAAGAAACAAATTTTACAAAAAAAAACAGACTCAAACAACAGTTTGCTTAAAAGTAACAATTTTCCCATTCATTTAAACTGATCAAAATTCATACGCAAAAGTATAATTCGTGTCCCAAATCCCTGTTTAAAGATAATAATTTAAGCAGTTTAAACAAACACGTAATTATGAATAAAAATATTTAGTAATTGTCAGATTTTTCCACAAAAAAAAGTTTTCACAAAAATATAATTAAATCCAACAATAATTTGCTTAAAGGTAACACTTTTTTTTCCATTATCTTAAACTGCGCAAAGTGCATCGGAAAATTGTTAACCATTTTTGTTTATTGAACTTGCCGTTAGCTGAAGTTTATGAAAGATGTGCTCATTTGAATGGAACTTAGCTGTTGACAGTGACTAATTTCTCCGCCGACAGCTGTTCACAAAGTGAAAAGGGTGGAATTTCTGCTTTGTTTCACGAAATTTACTTTCATCCAGCATGACTTGTTTTCGAATTAGGAGCATTACGTGTTTTCAATGGCGGTTTGATGAAAGTTAAAAAAATAACAGAAATCTTTGACTTTCTAGCGAAGAATTTAAGAAAAGCTATAAGTTAATTGCTGTGGAAAGACGGTTAAACAATTTTAGCTTTGAGCTTTGTTAAAAAAGCGTTTGTTACATTCTTAAAAATATCACAGTAAAATAAATTTTTAATCGTAATTTTTGCTTTCATACAAGTATTTTCACGAACATTTTTAAATGCTCCTTAAACGAGGAAGAAGAAAAGAGACACAATGGGCCATGTCGACATAGATACATTGGCAATACAAAATGCCAATTATTTTCCATAGTGTTTAAATCTTTTCTTAAATTGAATGTTTGTCTATTTTCGTACCAATTAAAAAATCGAACCGTAAAATCAATCGTGGCATTCTTATAAAACTGTGCTCAATACTCGTATCATTTTAGGTCCCAGCTATATCCTTCAAAAAATGTGAAAAACCCATCTATTACCTCGTCAAAAAGCTGAATCACTGGCTTACGTTTTTTTTTTCANCCCTTGAAATATAAATCTATTTATATTTCAATGGTATGTTTTCAGCCTTGAATTCCTAAAATAGAATCTCTCTACGCTTATTCTTTAACAAAGACATTTTATGAAAACGAAAGAGATTTAATTCTTTTATTAATACAAAAGTATTTACTTATTGTATTACACATATATATATACATTTGTACATTGGAAAATCTAAAATGGTCACCATGACAGTAGATTGTTCCTATTGTTACAGATATTAACGTCACTTACTAAGGTAAATTATTATTCCCCTACTATATAAACATGCTTATCTGAAAAAAATGAATTTCTATTTAAAAAAAAATGGTATTATTCTTTTTATTTCTATTGCAAAATAAATGAAAAATATGTTATTCAATTAGGGAATGTTTGCTACTGGCCGTTTATTATCAATTGCTATCGCTACTCGTTTTGCTCCAGCATTCATGCTTGGGTGTAATATAGTAAGTTTTTGTCAGCTATTTTTTAATACCTATATACACTATGTTTCTAGTACAACGTAAAAAATTGTCGTGTATTTGTACACTGAAAATGGTGTCAAACTACTTTACAAAAGGATAGTGTTGTGAAGCAACTAGAATGTTCTCTTACACAACTTTGTGCAAAACCACCATGTTTACTATTTAGCAACACTAAAATTTACAATTACAGTAACATATGATACGCATAAGAATCAGTCAAGCTAATTTTAAGCGACAATATTAAGTAAAAATCAATAATTTAGGTTGCATGTTAACCATACTATCTTCTTGGATAGAAATTATACGTCATAGAGTTATTTAATACAATTTGCAGAGTTTTGAAAATAAATATCCGTATTAGACAAATAAAAGCATACATATATATTTTTAACGTCGACTTTAGTTTTTACAGATGAAAAATAACATGGAAAACAGGAAAACAGTCGTATCGATCGTGAACAATTTAACGCGCAATCGAAACTCTCTAAATCGGAATTTTTGGAAGTGAAAATATTTAACGTATGGTGTGCAACCTTTGTGCAACCATTTTGCATTCAGAGCTATGTTGAATGTGACTGAATAATACACAGCAGAAGAAAAAAAATCTTGTTAAATTTACTGTTTTAAACACACAGCTGTGTTGATTGTGCAAAACCGTAAAACTTAGAAATAACTGCGTAGCTCAACGGTTTTTACTAGTTGAGAACAAGTTTTCTTCTCTCCGTACAATATCGTAGTCGCAACGAATTTTTACAAAACAAAAGTAAATTTTCTCTGGAAAATTACACATAAAATTCATAGTCATCAGTAAAGGTAAATTCTTAGTAAAATTTATTGAAAATCCATAATTTTTTCTGCATCCTTCATTTATTATTATACATACTTTGTCTTAAAAAATATGTGCTAATAAGTTGTTTTCGTTGAAAGGTGGGATGTACTTTAGGCATGCTATTTATGCTAGCTTTCAGTGAAAGTAAAGCTGTTCTTGTGATGGGTACGTGTATTATTGGTCTTTTTATGAGCTCTGTATTCCCCACAGCACTCTCCTTAACAGAAGAATACATAAAAGTTACACGTAAGTCTGAATTTTTAAAAATATTTTATGTACTGTCTTAAGAAACTACATTATTAGAAATTTCTTTTAAAAAATGGTTAAAGAACAATTTATTTCATTGTAATTTTCTCATTTTCAAACAAAACAGTCAAATAAGATGATATTCAAACTTTCAACTACGAAAAAAAACCGTTTATTAAATGCTTTCACCCAATATGATTAAGCAATCAGACTCACCAACTAGGCCCACCAAATGATGCTACTTAGTTCCTTGCAGTTAGGTACATATAGCCGAAAGAGCTAATTTGTCACTCTCATGACCGACTGAATGGGGGTTCGAGCGTTAACACCACAATGTTTCCTCCATTCCCCACAATGCATGAATTTCGACTCTGGATTATTAGAGTACGATGCTCTCATTCACGCATTGATGGCAGCACCATAAAGATGCTTAATATAAAAATCTTTCCATCTTTTACGATAGGTGAAACAACCAAAAAAAGTATTTAAACTACACTCCACGAAAACGAAAAACCGTATTATTTTCTATTCATGGTTTTTAATAATACTTTTTGTAAACGTTTTCAAAATCGTAAAAGTAAAAATTGTTCTTTACCGTTAACTTTACGATTAATGGAAAAGACAGCCTACAGCCGGTTATTTCACCCTAATTTTAGAGAGAAAATTCTTACAATGTACCGAAGAAAAATTCTTGAGGTAATGCGCAGTAGTACGTATTCTAGTACGTATGAAGTAATGCATATTCCTGAAGTAATGAAGTAGTTGAAAAATTCTTGAAGTAATGCGAACTCTGAAAGAATAAGTATATAAAATTTAAAGAAAGAAGTCAACTTTATTTAAGAATATATTTTGTAATTTTCTAAATATAGGAAAAATAATTAAAGAAAATTCAAAAAACCATTTCCGAGTATTATTTGAAAATAAAAAAATACTCTATTGTTGTTTGTGTGATCACTCTAATCGATAGCTCAAATGTATTTTTCGTAAATAACAACGCTGGTTTGCAATGGACTGTAGAATACTTTATTTTTAAAGACACACGGACTACGTCCGCCATTCATGAAGTTCTCAAGGTATATATAAAGTCTCTCACACAGGGGTGGCGCGGCAGTCGCACATGCGCGAACATGCCGCCCGGCATTGCAATGTTTCAACATTCAATTAATATGTAGTTTAACAAAGCACAATTTGCATTATTAAAAATCTTTACAAAGCATTTAGATGAAAATTAGTAACACTGATACAAATAAAAAAAAATTAATGATACTTTACACTGCAACCGATTTTCTCATACAACAAATATTCAATTCAAAATAAAATTAAACATGAGAATATTTTTATGATACAGGTAACAAGCATATTTTAGAAATAGACCTCTTAAGGGTCCCGTGCTGGGTTTTCACATCTACAACTCTGATTTTCTTATCAGTGCCATAAAACACTTTAATTATTCTCCCCATTAACCATTTATTAGCTGGTAAATTATCCTCAATAATTAAGACTAGACTACCGATTTTGACATTGTCCTTTTCGAATCTCCACTTGCCACGTTGCTGCAGTTCACTTAGGTAGCTTCGTTGCCACTTTCTCCAAATTAATTGTACTAATTTGGTTATTCTTTGCCACCTGGATAACCTATTTTCCCTTAAATTTGTCAAATCCTGTTCAATTATGGCGTTCATTGTTCTCCCTATCAGGAAATACGCAGGAGTTAAAACTTCTAAGTCGGTTTCATCTGCGGATAGTGGAGTTATCGGTCTACTATTCAAAATGCTTTCAATTTGAGTGGCTATAGTATGCAATTCTTCGTAAGTTAAAGAGGCATTACCAACAGCTCTTTTAAAATGGTATTTAAACGACTTAATTGCTGCCTCCCAGAGACCACCAAAGTTGGGAGCTCTAGGCGGGATAAAACTCCACTCTATGCCTTCAGCGGATAGATAATTAGCCAATTTTTCATCAGGATTTTTGAATAAATTTAAACATTTTTTTAACTCCTTGTTAGCGCCAACGAAATTCGTCGCGTTGTCTGATAACAGTTTGGCACATTTGCCTCTACGCGCGATGAATCTCTTCAACGTGGCAATTAGAGACTCGGATGTCAAATCAGAAACTATCTCTATATGCACTGCTTTAGATACAAAACATATGAATAAGCAAATATACACCTTTAGAGAAATTGCTTTTCTTTGATGTTCGCATTTAATGAAAAACGGACCAGTTAGGTCAACACCAGAGCAATTGAATGCGAAATCTGGCGCAACTCTTTCTCTAGGTAGATTTCCCATTATTTGCGTCGCAGCAATGGGTTTATTTTTAACACAAACAACACAATTATGAGTAATTCTTCTACATAGAGAACGGCCACACAAGGGCCAAAATTTTTCTTTTACACAGTTTAATAAACCATTTGGACCAATATGCAAATATTTAAGATGATATGTCGAAATAATAACAGAAGTTAAAGGACTATTTTTAGGGAGTATTGCAGGATGTTTTTTTAAGAAAATTCAATTCAGTGTTACCTAATCGTCCTCCAACTCTTAAAACTCCATTTGAATCTAAAAGAGGGTTCAAATTTCTTATCTTACTCGTAGGAGACACCTTCCCGTGCAGTTTGAGACTCCGAATTTCTGATCCAAATTCCTCGTTCTGTATTACTCTCAACAGGAACCGCTCGGAGGCGTTGATCTCCTCATTGCTCAGAGGTCCTGAAGCTCCTTCAGTAGGGTTTCTGCAATTCTTAGAAAACCTAAAAATATAACTTAATACACGCACTATAGTAAAATAATTATTACTCAAGCCAATTAGTTCATGCACAAAATTGTTGGATGTTAATGTAAAGGCTTTTAAGGGATCTTCAATGTCTAAGCTTGAAGGATTTTTAAGTTCACTTTGGAAGACACTCAGTTCTTGCGACACCGGAAAGTTTTGGTTAGGATACTCATTGTCACAAAGGAAATTAGGGCCTTTCCACCATAAATTTGTCTCTAAAAGTTTCACAGGGTCCAATCCTTGGGATATCAAGTCCGCGGGATTCATCTCGGATGGCACATGATTCCATTGGGACTTTAGCGTCAGTTCTTGTATGAGTGCAATTCTATTTTTCACGAATGTCTTAAGACTCGTTGGCTCCTTTTGAATCCATGCTAGTACAATCATGGAATCAGACCAAAGGTAAACTTTGTCTGTTTGCAATTTTAATGCGGAAAGTATCTTTTTCGTTAACTTGGACAACAAGACTGCAGCACAAAGTTCCAGTCTGGGGATACTTAGGGCTTTAAGTGGGGCAACTCTAGATTTGCTAGCAACTAATTTCACATTTATGTCACCTGCAGAGTTGAAAGACTTGTAATAAACGACCGCTCCATAGCAACTCTCCGATGCATCAGCAAATCCATGAAATTCGATTGTTTTAGACTGTTCTATTGTAATGCACCTATCAACTTTAATGTTGTTCACGCCTTTCAACGTGGAAAAAAATTCGCTCCACTCCTGAGATTCTGCAGCAGGAAGTGGATCACCCCAGTCAATGTTCAATTTCCACAATTTCTGCATAAATATTTTGGCCTTGGCTATGACAGGGCCGGCTATCCCTAGGGGGTCAAAAAGTTTTGCAATGGTGGACAGAACTGACCGCTTGGTAAAGGTGTTGTTCTCATCCACTGATATTTTGAAGGAATAGCAGTCCTCTGATGGTCGCCAAATGACTCCTAAAGTTTTTGTTTCATCGGCGCTCGAAAAGTCATAATCGTTTTTACTTGGTGAAAGTTCCGGATGGCTAGCAGACCATTTATGTAGACCCATACCGGCTTTATCGAGAATTGAAATCAGTTGCCGCTGTGTTCGTACTTTATTTTTAACCGCTGTGTTCGTACTTTATTTTTATTGTGTGATACTTTATTTTTAAAGACACACGGACTACGTCCGCCATTCATGAAGTTCTCAAGATATATATAAAGTTTCTCACACAGGGGTGGCGCGGCAGTCGCACATGCGCGAACAATTGTGAAAGGAACTACTAATAGTGCTTTCTTAGGTAAACTCTAGCATTACGGTCATTATGACCGAAAATTTAAAAAAATTTTTTTTACTTATTTAATAGTTGATATTTCTTAACTTTTACTTGAAACTTACAAATGTTGTATACTATGTCCATGGAAATAACTTCCTTCGCCATTCGTCTGGCGGTGACTATAGCTACGAGGTTTAACTATTTCGTGCAGGGATGTTGGATCTATATTTAGGACAGATTTTGGCTCGGATCAGGGAGAAAAATGAAATCAACGGTTTGAAATGTGGTGTTTCTTGTTTCCACAGCAGACTTCGTGACGAGGGGTGTTATTTCTATAGACAAACTATAATTTAATTTTTTTTCAATTTGAACAATTTCTTTTAAATATAAATGTGTAAACTTAAAATTATCAACTCCTTTGACCTCAACTGGAAAATTATGCTTTTTAGAGTATTTTTACAGCGAAGCCTCTCGGGAGCGACCACTCTGTGATCCACTGTAAAATGGTCGTTAATGGAGGTTGGTCGTTGTTAAGAGTTAGCTCCATTGACTACAAAATGTTATCGAAAGTACATGATTTTTCTCAAACTACTTCAATTTTATTTATTGTCATTTGTCTCGCAGTGAACTGATAAAGACACGGTTTCCAGTAAAATCCCGAAATCAAATATCACTGGCTGTGGACATTAAGCGGGTGGGTGACCACTTTGATCAGCCTGTGTAAGGACCGAGGATGCGCAGTATCAGTCTTCGTTAAACTGTTCTACCGTAAAGTGCTCGACTTCAAGCGCAGATTGTCAGGCTAAAAATACAGGGGAGCTATCCCCTCTGCAGAGGGTCAAAATTGCGAGGGCGTGTTTTCGGATCATCCTCAGGGATGTTCCCAGACGGTCGCCAATAGCCCATTGTGCAGGTCTAGTGAGATGTAAATGAAGTACCTACTTACCTTACTGTCTTGGTAAGGAATTACCATTTGCGTTGGCGTTATGAAAACTAGATCGATGAATAAAATTTAGTGTCAATAAAAATGATCCCTACTGTTATAAAAGGTGTAAAAACAAATTTAGCAATTATGAATGATAGAACTATTTGAAATAAATAGAAAGTTTGCACATATTTTTATATCATGAAAATTAATTTGCTTTAAGAGATGAGATTTGTTTGATTAAAATGCTTCGAGTCATTTTTTAAAATTAACATTCAGCTCAAAAAATAAATAGTGTTGTCAAATAGCAGTTGTTTATGACCATTTTATAGTAGAGATAACGGAGGCTAAATACGACACTATTATATAGAAATTTTGCCACAATTAAAAATACTTAGATTTGGTATGTTATTTCTTTTTAATGCAAGTAATGTATGTTCTTTTAAAAGTAAAATGTTAGAAGTAAAAAGTTATAGTAAAATGTTCTTTTCTTTATAGCTACTATCACTACTTTCTTAGTATTCGGAGCTGCATTAGGAGAAATGTCAATGCCAGTTATTTTAGGACATGTAAGTTTGAAATTATTAGATCGAATATTTTTAGATATTACCAAAGTATTTAAAAAAAATTTAAACAGTTTTTGTACATCAAAATATAATGAACTGATTATTTATTATACTTCTCGTGATAGCTCTATTTTTTAACAATTTAAATCCAGTTTTCATTTTACGATTACATTGCCATCTGCGAATAAAAAGGCAAATAATAAATGCAAAATATTGTAAGAGAAGCAGCAAAATAAATAGATAAGTAAAAAGAATGGAAAAAAGAAAAATTTCTTTTGAAAAAAAAAAGTAGATTTAATAGCTTAAATAGATTGATTGATAATTTAAATTTACTTGAGTTTGGAAGTAATTATTCAAGTTGAGCTTTTACCATTAGAAAAGAATTACTAGTGACAATTATTACTTGATTAAAAACTTCCAAAAATACACAAATTGGTAACATGTTTCAAGAGCTCAAAAACAGGCGTTAAGAGATTATGTATTTAATGGGTTATCAATGAATTAATGGGTTATTTTAAAAGTCATCAAACCGCATGCAATACAAACTAGACGCTTAGAGGTGACCTTTTATGGGTATTAACTTTTTTTGTCTTATAAATTAGGTTATTAGTAATAAAAAGTCCCCAATAAAAATTTAAAATATTTTCAAATATTGAAACATAGAGCTGTGGTGACTCAGGTGATAAAGGACTCGCCTCCTAATGATGTCACCCGGGTTCGAATCCTAGAGATGGTTGGTCTATACAAATTCCGCAACCGTCTCGAATAGAACACAGAGCTGACGTAGAATATTCTCAGTGGTTGACAGATCATAGGATAGAATCCCATGCTGTCAAGCTAACAGTGAGAGGATTGTGAGGTTTTCCTCTTCATGTAACGCAAATACGGGTTAGTTAAATCAAAAAGTTCTCCATGAATGCAATTTTAACCCAACAGTTGATCCAAGAGCTCCCTTGTCTTCTGGATTAGGTTGAAAATTACAAGACTAAGGAGTTGAACAGTCATAAACCCAAAATTGGATCGGCTGTTTAAGGACGGTTATAAAATTATCAAATATTGTTACATAGGGTTGTGGTGCTTCAGGTGATAACATATATGGCAGTACTTTTACTTTCGTTACTTGTACCGCCGGAACAAGTAAAAAGTACGTACTTTTACTTGTACTTCGTTACTTTTTAAATTTAGTACTTTTACTTGTACTTTCGTTACTTTTTTAGGGAAAAAGTACAAGTATTTGTAACGGAAATGTCGAATGAAATCGTTACTTTTTTCTAAAACTCGGTAAGC